ATTATTATTATTATTATTATTATTATTATTATTATTATTATTATTATTATTGATTGGCGGGCAGTAATTTCCCGTACGGACCGAAAAATTGAAAGCGGATTCACTTTGAAAGCTTGGCCAGAATGAAAAGGGGGTGCTTGCCATAAACCTCTGGAGGCCGCTGTGTGTCAGACTGAGAGTGGTTGCCTTTGTTGCCACCTCTGGTAATCGACCACATACCTGAAACTAACGGCGGTCGCATACGAGAGGTTCCAGTGTAATATTGCGCAAGGGTCACTGGACAAGATACATGGACCAGAAAGTACTCCAAATATGAATTGTTCGCTTGTTACTAATAGAGATACGCGCAGTGAAAGACAAGACTAACAAGGTAACGATGATAAACGACCAGAGAATGGCTGAGGCTCATTTTAAAATCATGTTACTTTAAGATCACCGAGATAGACCCTTTTAGCTTGGGCGTAATGTTTATCCATTTCAGACCACATGTCATTCCCTTGAGAAGCACTTTCTTTGTTTGAGTTGTATGAATATTCATGTATCTTCTCGTGAGCAAAAATGATACTCTACGAAATGGCATGTGGTATGAAACGGGAAAACATAACACCCAAGGTAAAAGAGGCTATTGGTTTGCCCTATCTAAGATGATAAGCCCTATGTCTAGGCTTCTATATCCAGTTGGGTTTACATTAACCCAACACTGTAGTTAGTGTACAGGACACAGTGTATACAGTAGGGTGTACCTTATATAGTTAGTATACAGAACAGTGTATACCTTTGGGTGTGCCTTAAAGTTATTGTAGAGGACACATGTATACCGTAGGGTGTACCTTAGAGTTAGTGACCACAGGACACAGTGTATACGTTAGGGTGTACCTTATAGTTATTGTAGAGGACACAGTGTATACCGTAGGAAGTACCTTATAGTTAGTGACCACAGGACACAGTGTATATCGTAGGGTGTACCTCATAGTTATTGTACAAGACACAGTGTATACCGTAGGAAGTACCTTATAGTTAGTGACCACAGGACACAGTGTATATCGTAGGGTGTACCTTATAGTTAGTGTACAGGACACAGTGTATACCGTAGGGTGTACCTTACAGTTAGTGACTACATGACACAGTGTATACCGTAGGGTGTAGCCTATAGTTAGCGTACAGGACACAGTGTAYACCGTAGGGTGTAGCCTATAGTTAGCGTACAGGACATAGTGTATACCGTATAGGGTGTAGCCTATAGTTATTGTAGAGGACACAGTGTATACCGTAGGGTGTAGCCTATAGTTAGCGTACAGGACATAGTGTATGCCGTAGGGTTTACCTTATATAGTTATTGACCTACACGACGCAGTGTATACCGTAGGGTGTACCTTGTATTCTGTTTTTAGATCACTCGTTCTTTTATTTATTTCTTAAACAATCTTAACATTGTTAATTTTCAATTTTTATTATCACATTTAAGACATTTTGGATATTATATTAGCATCTTCATGCATGGTTCGGACTCAAGCAACTATTYTAGTCAGACGCTAACAGTAACAGTAACAATAACAGCTGACTAAAGAGAGTCGGAACCATAAATACTTCTTTTTGACAATATAAACTAATTTTTGATATGCTTTTTTTATTATATTTCATTATTTTTAATTACTTTGTAATATCGGATATCTTATCATTTCTTACTAAGGCTTTTGAAAAGCTCTTGTGTAAGGGCTGACATCAATAGGGTATATTTCTTATTGAATGTAAACGAAAACTGCGTGAGCTTGACAGTGTTGTATTCAAAGAATGGGTGGGTGGTAATGCCGTATTCGATGGTTACAGAATTGCCCTATTTTATTGTGATGTCATGTGAAAACAATCCTTTGTTTTAACGCTAAGAATCATGGTTGTTTAAGGGGGACAAAACAGCAACAACACAACGACAACTCTGAAAAAAAGTTTTTTTAGAACTCAGAAAAGCAATAATAGCCTCCCAGTACCGTAAACACTAGTTTATAAAATGTTAGAAAACCAGACATCATAATAGACCAAAAATTAGACCGATTTCGTATTGTGGTTCACTATTTTGTCCCCCGTATATAAAGAAGCTGTGACGTCATATAGTGGAATACAATTGGATGGCCTGTAACCGCAATGTCGTTGATTACTCAATTCAACAGATGCTGTCAGTCCAGGCCATGTCGTCATGCCATGACATCATGCCTTAACGACGTCATGCCATGATGTCATACAGTGGCCGTGTCGTGTGCTGTAACTTTTTACTCATCCGAAATCTACTTATACATATAAAGTATAGCGTTTCTAAAGTATTTTTGTAGCATTTAGTACAGAGGTTGACATTAAACATTAGTGTTTTTAGAACACAATGTATGAAAATAATTGACGCTAGCAATATATTAAAACTTCTCGTAAATAATCGTTACAGTGAATAAACGGTCTTTTGAAGACCTTGTATAAATAATTTTAGCTTTTCTATGAATGCTACTGCCTTTTTACTCACCTATTGCCTCACCTACCACACCCCATCCCTCCCACACTCACAATCTTGCCTTACAATATACAAGATCTATATATTAGACTTTGATGATTTAACTAATCAAGTTCCATAATTTATATCCAAAAAATCTTTGGTTTAGACGCTTTGATCTATGAAAATAACATAAGATCCCCTTAATGATGAGAGCAATTGCATTTGGCTACTGTACGATTGTATCAAATGCAATAGTTTAGGGGTACCTATAAATAAATACTATATATTCATATAGCTATCAACATTCAATAATTAAAATGCGCTCACTTTGATGCATACTTTGGATGGGTTACATACTGCATGGGTTACATACTGGATGGGTTACATACTGCATGGGTTACATACTG